GCAACCTGGACACAATAGGGATGGAAATAAATTACATCCGCCACCAGGGGGCGGGAGTGGTGGCATAATAGTTTATCAGGCAGCTCCTGAAGCATCCAACAGGTCAGAACAATGAGTGAAGGTTAGCAAACACACAGAATGCATCATACTGGTAGATTAATGTAGAGGTTTGAAAGAACACAGCTCCATCTGTCATTTCTGAGTTACTTCTGAAGTCTTGGTCTGCAGGTTTCACCAATTCAGACTACAAACTTTTTAAGACCATTAGGAATGGAATTTAAGACCTACAACCCGACATAAATGTACAGAAAAAGGGAAAAATAATAAACTGCATGGGCTGGTAACAGAATGGCGAAGGTAAGTATCGTCCAGATAACGGATTTGCATTACAAAGCCACGACGGACGTAAAAACAAACAAACAAAAAAAACTAGCAGCTAGCTACCAGTAGCTGCAAACGCCGCTGCGTGTGACGCAAACTTCCACGAAACAGGTAAAGTCCCGCGAGAAATCATACCGCAACAAAAATTTCAGACATGTGATTAACGTGTTCACGGTCAACTTATTTCCTGAATGAACACAAGACGTTTTAAGATCTTAATTTTAGACACATGAATTGTAAGGATGCCCAGACGCCCTGAATCTGCTGCGTGCGTGCGTCGTCCTACCTGAAGGCGTGTGCCGGAGTGTGCACGGTGTAGGCCGGGGTGGTGGCGTAATGCGTGGCGTGGCTGTAGGTGGTGATTCCTTCTTTAGGACTGAGCAGCTGTGGGCTCTCTGATCTGGAGGAAGACGAAGAGGACGCCGTGTCCGTCAGCTTGCCTGAACGGAAACAGAAGAAGCTAGCATGAGCACAGGAGCAAAACAATATTTTAAGAATCGAACTCTTTGTTAGGATCACAAAAAAAAAAAAAAACTTGCGTAATAGGAGAGAGACCTCTAAAAGCATTTTTAAAGAGTTATTAGAATTTTTTTTTTTTTTTTTTTTTTAAAGAGACATGTAGGATGAATGAAAAGTTTCTAAAAATCGATGTGGGCATGTTTGAAAGCTCGCAGGACACAAAAAGAATTTTGAAAAAGGAAAAAACTTGTAAGTTTATTGCTGATGAAAAAGTACTAATTCCATTTGTAAATTATTTCGCTTACAGCAAGACGTGTTTAATCAACATTAGGGTAATATTTACTTAAAACAAGCCCCTATCTGTTGCTGAAAAGTTACTTGCAAAGTAGTTTTGTCTTAATTCAATCATACTAAAACTATTTGCACTAGAAACTAGACCAAAAACACTGGATAAGATTTTGCGTTTTTCCAGTGGCGTTGGAAACTTTTCCAAAGAGCTGATTTCCATCAGGCTCTAGAAACACTGGTATTGTTGGAAAAGATTTGGAGGGTGAGGACACTCTGAAAGAGAAAAAAGATGACAAGGAATACTTTTGCATTTATTCAAACTTGGGATGCTTTTGAAGAAAGAGGAAATCGTCTTAAATGCAGATTGTCTGAGATTTTTTTTGGGAGAGGAAAATGTTTTTTGAAATGTTTTCTCAGGATGTTTCCTCCAGCCGTCGGTTCTTTGAGCGATCGTCAGAGAAGCGAAGCTGTTTGATGCGTCTTACCCGTGGACAGCTGCGTTGGAGAGATTCTTCCCGATGACGTGACGTTATTGGAGCCGTACTTCTCCATCAGCTCAGCAAACTCCCTCCTGAAGGACACACAGATGCATCAGGCTGATGGGATTTCAGCACAGAATGATGTGGATAAAAAATTGGATGCGCAATCCGTTTTTTTTACAAACATACGCTTCTGATACCTTACATTATCAAAGTTTGCTTGGGATGTTTACTAAGTTAAATTTAAGCAACTCCAGATAAAATCTTTCTGGAAATGCAGCAGGAAATTTTAAAATCGGTTGAAGCAAATAACATTTATGTCTCTTCCTCTCTCTATTGGTTTCAAAAATGTTTAATTTTTTGGATTCGTCTGAAAGCATGAGTGTATAAAACTTCAGCTGCAACAATGTCTCTATTTCTAGCTTTTATTTCCTGTCTGATCTGTGAGTGTTTGTCTCCCTCACATGGAGGTCAGCCAGTCTCACAGCATCATGCATCACCGCCTGATCCGATTGGCTGTTAATGCCTTTTAAAGTGGATCTGCATGGCTGCAGATAAAAAACAATCAGAGGTCAGGAATTACACGCTGATCCCTTCAAACCTCTGAATTCCTGCCAGTTTTCCTTTGTTCCAAACACTTCCTTATCTTTAGTTTCAGTAAGCGTTATTCCTCAAACGTAACCTGAAATGCTTAGAAAGATTTTCAAGGCAAAAAAAAAAATGCTATAGTGGGTGAAAACTCTAGAACATTTTTTTGAATTCTCAATTTTCTGGATGTTTTGGTTCTTGTCTGAACATTTTGTTTTCTTCTGAAAGCTGCTGACATTTGGTTTGGTTTGTTCGGGTTCAGTCATTGTTGCAGACATTTTCCAACACGTTCCAAGTTGTGGCTAATCTGCATTTCTGCAGCTCTCCCTGAAGAAAAGGAAAGAGGGCAACTCACAAAACTGAGATTACTTCGTCTGCTTAAGTTCCTGTTCACAGTTAAATCTGCAGACATCCCAACATGCACTGCTCCATTAATTGGCGCCCTCATCAGATTAAATTTTCTAAATAAATAAAGAGGATATCAACTTTGTATCTGTCATGGCTGAAAGTCGTCTGTAATCTTTTCCCGTTTCTGAATATATGAGTTGTAATACAGTACATCTCAAGCTCCTGGATGTTGCCACCTTTCCTCTAATGTCTTTTCAGAAAATAACGTGGTGTGGTTCACTATCGTTACTCAATACGGAGTAACTAAAAAGATTGTCAATTTCCCTCTAAAATGTTGCCAATATTTCCATTGGATGCGCTCTGGGATCTTTTGTCGACCTGACGGTCTTAAGCATCGTTTTCCCCTCGGAGCGGTGAGGACACGCAGTCAAATCCTCACAGCGTGATTGCCTCCGGGGCGTCCTCACGGCGACCTGCAGATAATCATCATAATTTGTTTTTTAAAGTGTGAAACAAATCGCTGTAACAATGGAGGTCGGGCCGTGGGGCGACTGCGTGACGCGTCGTCGCAAAGCTGCTTCCGCAGCAACACTCTGCCGCTTTCGTAACAGAGAGGATGGGAGCGAACAGACAGAGGCGAGACGACCTTCTCTGTGCACTCACAACACGCTCTAAGCTACTAAACTTTTTTTTTTTTCGCCAGCTCCATCTGTTCGCCTGCAGAGCGTGACCCTCACTAAGGACACAGACTGTTTCTGCTTAATTTGGGAATGCTGCTGTTGTTTGGGATCAATAAAAGGATTATCCCTCCGTGTTTTACAGCTGAGTGCAGCGCTGAGACTTTACTCACATCAAAAAACTCCCAAACAGCAGAGGGAAGAAAAACAAGATTTTTTTTTTTTTAGCTTTGTATTAAGATGTTTCTGTCCAGATGCTGCAGATTTCAGTCAATTAAAAGAGAACCTCCAGCAGTCTGGAGTGCATTCTGCATGACTGGTGCCTGTCACCATTTTTTTTTTTTTTTTTTTTTTTTTTTTTTGCTGATTGCAGCGAGTAGCTGTGCCGGAACCCCGTGGTCAGACAGCAGCGCGTCCTTATTGTGTCAGGCTGTGTTTGAGTTGAGGCTGAGGGCTGACGTGGAAAAGCACTTGGGCCATCAGGGGGTCAGATCGGAGAGAACGCCATGCATTTTATTTCATGAGCAGACGGAGCTGGAGGAAATAGGAGCTGTCCGTGCCGCGAAACATCAGCTGGTGTCGAGTAAACATCCCACCGGGAAGGAAAGTTAACTCTTTTCTCCAGAATGGATGAAGGAGAAAAATGAGCCCGTTTTTTTTTCTTCTGAATTTTCAAATGAACAAACATCTAATAAAGGAGCTGAAACCCAACCTGCCAACATCCCTGCATAATCCTTTCATATTTTTTTTTTATACTCAGTGTGCCTGTAGCTTGTTCCACATGCAAAGCAGAGATGAACTGATTTACAACAAGCTGACATGTCAGGAAGGGCCACCAGGGGGCATTAATTCAGGTATCAGAAGTAGAGTGAGAGATGTCAGGAAGTTGCCTAAATGTCTAACAATAGATCAGAACATTGAGTGAAGTTCAGCCGACTTTGAACAGACGTCATAACCTGAGGTGGGGTTTCTGTCAGCCTGAGGGTTCGTGTTGTGTAATCATCTGACTGTCTGGTGCCCCTTACTCACTCCTTCTGGGGCTGCTTTGGTTTCCATCTAAAACACCTGCTGTCGTAGCCACGTCAAAGAGATGAACGTTCAACAGTGACGCTAATTTATCTGGTCTTTAACACACACCTAAAATTAGTTATTGTTCTAACCTTAACAAGATGCTTAAACATGTGAAGCCAATCTTGTCCACCGATCTTATCTACCTCAGCAAAGGTCTAAAACTCGACCACTATTCTCTTCCGCTTTCCCGTGAGAGAGGTTCGACTGATAGATCAGTCCACCAAGTCATGTCTACACATTTGTAGTTAACAATAGTCACCTCACTTTTATTAACTCAGCAGGTTTCTTGCTATATTTGGCAACATTTCAGACAAAAAAAATTGGTAAAATCTGAATCGGCAATCGATCCTGACCCTAATCTTAAGACACAGTCAAACTGTTTTATTGACAATTTATTAAACAGGATGAACATGCACAGCAAAAGCAACTCCTCTAAGCTAAAAAATAATCAAAAATGAATAAATAGAAAAACTAGAAAAACTTATAAACCAAAAAAAAAATACTATAAAGTCAATATAAACAAACTGCAATGCATTTAAATAACCCTATTGGTTTAGATTAATACTATCAATGTCAATGTCAAATTTATTTATATGGCAGTTTAAAAACAGGTATAAAACTGCACCAAAGTGCTATACAAGAATGATAATAAAATAAGCTGATGAAAAGACAAAGAGAAATATTACAAGAAAAGAAAACACACTAATATGAAAATATTATGCAGGAAAATATATATTTATTCATTTATTTTTTGGTTAAGTGACTGAAAACATCTTTTAAGTAAAAATAATGGACAATCACTGTTTTCTCGAGGGTCTGATTGCTTACCTGGATTCATCATCTCTGGCGACAAGCAGCGACATGTGATTGGAGAGCGAGGCGCTCCTCAGGATCTCCACCGCCCTGACACACAAACAGCACGAGGTGTAAACGTCCAGCTGCGACACGCTCAAAAATCAGACAGTGTACAACTTTAAGACGTTTTAACACTTGAGTCTTGAATTTGGTGATCTACTTTCTCATTTGGAGGCCCAAGTGATCAGAAGAGAATGAATGACGACTCTAATCGGTTTGCCTAAAAGAGATCAGCAGAAACTTGGACAATACCACCATCAAACACTGTCGACTGCTTCATCCAGAACTTTAAATCTGCATGAATGCCATAATATTTTGAGCTTCTTATAATTTGTTTCAACCATTCCTTTCCTCCAGTGCTTATATAAAGTTTAAAGAGCAACCTGGAACTGAAACAATTTACTAAATATTTATTTAATTGTCTTTTAGCAATTTATAGATAAACCTCCTAGTTTTTGAAGCCATTAACAGCGTTCTTGCATAACTCTGCATCACTCTCCTGCTCAGAAATAGAAGTAGACATGGAGTCCATTTTAAGGGTAGTCCATAAATTTTCAATGGGATTTAGGTCAGGGCTTAATGTTAGCCTGCTTTCTATAATCCAAAACCAGTTTGGGATCATTGTCCCATTAAAATACCAAGTTTCAACCCTCTTGCCAGGGCTTTGCGCCACAGGTGAAATTAAGTTGTTTTGGATGCTCAGTAGCAACCAGGAAACACCAAGACTCAAGCCTGGCACAGCCTGGAAGGCATCTGAACACCTGTGTTACTCTCTACACTGAATCCAGTTTAACACAATACTAGACTGGGAGCGTCTTGGGCCAAAAAAAAAAAGATCTGCTCCAAATCAACAGCTGAAATCTCTGGCTTTGGAAAAAATCTTGACGGCCAGATGAGACAAATACAGACAAAAGTTAAGGTTTTTAAACGTCAGAACACGGTATCAACAGTCAAACATGGCAGTGGCTGCGTCATGCTGTGGGACTGACAGCTCAAATAGTAGATGAATTGCTGAAGTGCTATCTATGCACTCTGACGACTGTCTCCAAGTTCTTCAACTTTCCTAAAAATCAATAAACAGCTTCTAGAATGGCCTATCCAAAGCCCTAACCTCAAATATATTCAAGATTTGTGAATTGTATTGAAAAAAGGGGGATCTGTTGGTGCAACAAGCTAAATTAAATTACCTCTACGAACTGTGACAGGGAGAGTGATCAAATATCTAGAATGATGCCTCCTGGATGGATATAAGAGACATTTAACCACAACATGTGTTTAACCATGTATGTATAATTTTGACCTTCCGTGGATTAAATTCAAACTCACATACTAAGTCTTTGAAATATTACTGCAGCTTTGAATCTTCATTTTCCATTTTCAAGTACTATCATGGTAACGACATAATAATGCAAATACACCGTCTCAACAAACAATAAATTGTAACTTCTAAGTCATTTTAGTAAATAAAACTTTGGAAACAACAAATAAAGTGGATACTGAAGTCTCTGTGAACTAAATTCACAGAGACTTCAGCCCTTGTAGAAAGAGGCTTGTTGAGACCAATGCACCAGACTGAAGCCAGACAGAGGTTCCTTTGACAAGGAACCTCTGTCTTCCTGTCTAGAAGGTTTGGTAACGCTAAGCTGCTCAGGCAGCAGTGAATTAAATCCAGACACAACTCAGGAGTTTAAATCACTGGCATTGGCTCAGGAACACTCAGTGCGTCCACGATAAAGTTGAAGCACGAAATAATCCAGAAATGCTGCTGCTTACTCTGAGCTAGAAATCATTAAAAGACGACTATCCCGGTTTGAACCGCGGCGATCGGCTCGCGCCACTCAAACTCGGGGAGCGGATTTTTTTAAATTTCGGATCAATAATCAGCATCTGCGACGGCTCAGTCAACCCTTGATCGTCTGAGGTGTTATTCGGACAGCTTCTGTTTAAGCCGTTGGGTGTACCGATCCCACTCTGCACCATTGCTTCACTGTCAGGAACGCCACGAAAGGGGTGAGAAGGTGAAATCATCCAGATTGGATTAAAGGTGTTGCTGTGAATCAGTCAAAGTGAACTGATTTGCCGAAGCAAAGTGGTTTTATGCTTCAGTCACACACACGCAGGAATTTGCACACTCAGCCAATCTCACCTCTCATTGGTCACTCCAATCAGGCTGATGTTATTGACATCCAGAATCAGGTCACCTGACTTAAGCCGACCTAGAGCACACAGAGAGACAGGTGAGTGTGTGTGTGGAGGGGCGCGAGGAAGGGAGGCGGGGGGGGGGTAATGATATCTTTTCTGAAATGAGATAAACACTCAGACAGGACGCTACCGTCCAGAGCAGCCAGGCCGCCAGCGATCACACGCTTGATGTAGATCCCGAAGTCTTCACCTGTCAGCTCCCTGTAGCCTCCGATTATTTTCACCCCTGCGAAGGAGCAAAACGAAAAGCTCAGCAGAAGCAAAACTGTACGATTGTCACACTCTGGTCATCGGCTGGTCATTGGGGAGGCGGAGAAAACAGGGGTGCATGGGGGTGCTCACCGAGTCCTTTCTTGCAGTCGGAGAACTCCAGCCTCTGGACAGCTCGGTTGATGCCATGGGGGCCCATGATCGTCCTGGAGACAAACAGAAAGCTGATGGGCTCAAGAACATCTCAACATGGTGCCTCGGGCAAAGCCTCTGCGTGTCCTCAGAGCCCTGCTGCACAAAATAATCAAATCATCACAGGATTTTGTTATTGTCTCCCTCGCTCTCCTCTTGCCTCCCTCTCCACCTCCCTCCTCCTGCCCGCCACACGCAACCAATGATATCTGTCTCCTCCCAAACGACACAGCAGCTGAACCACAAGTGACCTGGATGTTCAAAGGCTCCAGCGGTCGACAACAATGACTCGGTATAATCGGAGGAACAGGAGATGTCAATTGTTAGATCCCAGACAGTCTTCACGAAGACATCCGAGGGTGAGGAGGGTTAAGGCTTAGGCAGCAGAGGCTCTTCACGGTGCGGCTGTCTGTTGGTTCTGTCCTTGTTGCTCAGGCTCAAGCTCAGCGCCGCAGTACAGTGTCAGCCCGAGCGTCATTGAGATGTTTTCAGCTGGTTCTGTGACGGCTGCAGAGACCAACGCGAATGCACAAAGCGGGGATTCAGACTTTTTGAGGCTTTAAGCTCAGTTACAGCTCTGACTCAGGGATGTTCCGCATGAGCCTGTCGGAGCAGCGCCTACGTCAGGTTGATCTTGTCCTGAAGTGGCTCACCTGTTCATTATTAATGCAACACAAAAGAGCCCCCAGCAGGGGGCACTGAGGCGAGAAAAATGTGTTCCAGTTGTGTTCGGAACTGGGAAATTCCGACTGGGAAGTCAACTGGAACAACCTCCGAAGTCGGATTTCCCAGTGGAAAAAGGGGAGCCATTTCAACTGCCCCCGGTTAAGACTTGTACCGGTAGTAAGACATAAGTGGAACATGCTTACTTTACAGGATTACACATGTGAAAGCATTGAACAAATCAAAAATGGAGTTTGGTTTTGAAAATTAAACCTTAAAAGGCTGTTTGTAAGTGGTATGGCGAACAATGTCCAACTGCGCCGCCATGCTGAAATTCTCAACTGGAACGGCTGACGTCAAACCCAGCTCTTAGTTACGACTTCCTAACTAGAACACAATAAAAGAAACTTCTCACAGTGAGGACTTTTTCACGAAGGTGTCTCTAGTTCAGGATTCAGATCCTGTCAGGTACAATAAAAGAACAGATTTGGTTTTCTACAACCTGAAAACTACGTCAGAGCTGGTGTTATGTCACTTTAAATATCTTATTCAGAAAATGTTTGGTCCTGTTTTATACAGAAGTGGGCGATGTAGACTATCATGACATTTTGCGGTACTATCGCCATAACGACAATAAGAACTATTCATTACATCTTTTTTAGGTTACTATATGTTACAGACTGACAAAATATATATATATATATATATCTTTTTCTTAACCTTATCTTATCTTCTTAAGGACACCAATCTCATAAAGAAGTGTATCACTAAACTGCACACGGTAACTGTATTTATCGCTTTATCAGTATTCAGTGATTCTTCTGTTAAACAAACAGTAGGGGAAATACTTTCGATCTTGACAACAAGGACAGCTATAGGGAGGTTTAAACGTCATTAATTGGAATTCATCATAACAACAATAGATCAAAATTTGTGTCGCGATAACAAATTTATCACAATAAATGATAAAACGATACGATAAATGCCCACCCCTGGTTTTATATAGTTTTTGTTGGTATCACAATGCTGGAAGACAGTTTCACCACACAAAACACATGATTTATCATGTTAATCCAGCAGCAACCTGACTTCTTATGAATGAATACGCCACAAAAGACTCTGAGCTTTGCTTTTAGAGAGAAAACAAACCAAGTAACAGAAAAATTCTGCTAGCTTTCTTTGAGCTATTTTACACAACCTAAGAACAGATCAATAGCAATAAATGCAATTCATCCTGCAGATGATTTGGACTCCAAAATAATAACAGTGAATGCACGAGCAGAAGAAGCAAGTTCAATATACATTTTTACAGCTAAAAGAAAATTCAAGCTGCACAAAAACAGTTGTGACTTAAGTTCATTCACTCTCTGAGTCATAAAACCATCAACCGCTTCATTGCGGTTCTACACAGCTTTAGCGTTTACCTGAGGCTAATTACGCGACTATTTCTCCAGCTGTAAGGTTTTTAACTGAGTTTTTGCTTTTCCCTGAGCAGGACAATGTTTTGAAAGAATGTTTGGGATGATCCTCCTGTTTAAATACTGTCAACACGGAGCCGAGGGGGCTCCTTAGAGTTCCTCTGCTCTGATTCTCTGTCAATACTTGCTTTATTTTCTGCTTTGAAAGGGAAGCAGCGCAGCTATCAGGACCGTCGTGCATGTACTGAATGTTATGAAAGGGATTATGGGAATTGAAGTCAGGGTCACTTTGATCTGTTTGAAGAGGCTTAATTAGGAATAATAACATGATCCATCTCAACGAGCAGCCGGCAGCCATATTTACTGCAGGAATATTCTTACACTCAGAGCATACAGATTGATTTTCAGCGTTGAGGAAAGTCTCATCAACCTTTCTGTCATAACTGATAATCGAACGTCACACTTAAAACAGCTCTGCTTTGAGTTTGCTGCACCCAGCTTCAGAACCCACCAGTATAGCGGGTCCCACACAAAATAGTCCCACAACATCATCTATTACTATGTCAGTATCCTTGGTTAGACTAGTTTGAGTGCACGGAGCAAAACAGTCTGAAAATTTGAGAGCGGGGAGCCCGCAGCCGCTCTAACAGGCTGGTAATAACAAACTAATCTGCTTGAGCTTCTTCAGTAATGTTGCTGCAGATCAGAGTGTCAACAATATGAGTCACAACTGAGGCTGCAGTTCTGCACGTGTCTGAAGAAACAAATGCTAAAGTCAGGACGGAGGCTGGAGACGTTCCATGAGTTCATACGAAACATAAAGAGTTCGGTTCCAACCATACATCCATTCATCCATTCATCCACACTTCTGCACCTTTAAACTTGCAAATCGTATTTTGTTTTCAGATTTTTTTTCCTAGTAAGTTCTCATTTTCATCATTAGTGACAGAGTTGCCCTCATCCTGTTGCTATGTCTGTGTTCATTTCCATCAGTCTTTAACTTCCATATCCAAACGGTTTATTTGCTTTAGTTCAAAGAATTTGGGGTTGGAATATGGCAAAAATTTGAAAAAGTTAAAGATGTAGGAATACTTTTACGAAACACCAGTGCAGTATCTACTGCTTTATGGTTGCACTCTGAACCCATCTGTATCATATGTCAACGATGAAAATATTTACACAGCATTTTTTGTAATATAATTAATGTAATAAATAACCTTGTATGCATTTTCTCACCTTTTTCAATTAGTGTGTGTGACTTCTTAAACTTCCCCCTATGTTGGCCAGACAAATTAGAGAACAATGTCACCTGTTTTGTTTTGTTTTTTCTCCTGAAAGGCTATAAGTCAATTAACAGCACGAATAAAGACAATCAGAAGACAGACGACCTGGATTTAAATAGTTTGGAGAGGTTCATTACCGCCACCGGCTACAAGACCTGATTAAAAGGATAAGACCCAGTCTTGGATTTTGTGAACCCGTGCCCGACAGATTCTTTTGATCCCCACGAAACTATGAATCAGAATCTGTCATTTCATTTTCTTCTGCCTCCACCTCCACGTGGATCGTCACACCGATGTGGGTTTTTGCCAGCACGTAAATTAAACAAATCTTCCAGCGTGGAAAAAGTCCCCGGCAACAGCATTTTCCTGTAGATCAAAACCAATCCACGACAGTTTCCAACACACAACGAAGCCAGCCGCTAGGACACGAAGCAGCAATTAAACTGATCACTTAATACCTGATGATCTGCATTACCTGTCACGCATCATTACCATCACACGCCGGCTGGCTGCCAGGCGACACTTTGCAGCACGGCAGCAGAGTCACCCAGGGTAAACGGAAGACGGACACAGATTATGCTGGAGTTTAGATTAAAAACATATGAGCATTTGACATCACAAAGCAATATAATCAGAACATATTTAAACAATCAAAATAAACTGAATTTGTAATTTCACATTTATCCTCTTGTTCAGAACTAAATTATTGATTTTATTTGTTGTGACTCGTTGGATTATTTTATTGATACGTAACTCAAGTGAGCGTTAGTTTAAGGCCATAAACTGACAACCGGAGCTTCAGGATTTTCTAGAGCAGAATTGATGGTTCCTTGAGTTATAACAAGTCATCCGAGTCCTGAATCAGCCTCAAAACATCATAATAGCACCACTATACTTTACTGTAGGTGCAATTACTTATCTTTGAAACACTGTTGGTTCCATGAAAATATTCCACGTTTGTCTCATCAGTGGACAAAGTATTTTTAAAGGTCTTGTGGATATAAGAGTTTTTTGGGGGGCGGTTTGCTACGTTTTTTCCTATTTTGCTCAATAGTAATTTTGACCTTGTATTTCCCCAGTGGATTTTTCCCAGTCTCTCTCTTATGGCTGAATCACAAACACTGGCCTCACTGGAGATTTGCAGAACTTTAGATGTTATTTTTTTGGGGTTCCTTTGTGGCCTCCTGGATGAGCCGTTGATACACTGTCTGAATAATCTTGGTAGACCCAACCAAAACCTAATACCCCAAACCTTAGAATTAGCTTTGTAACCCTTTCCAGATCGATTATGTAAATTACTTTACTCCTATATTTGATTAGTATTTTTATTTTCAATTACAGCCAAAAACCTAATTAAAAGTTTTTGGATTATTTAGGCCTGGCATAATAAAAAAATAAACTTAGATTTCCAAAAATGTAGTTAACTGTTGCGATTAATTCATGATGCAATTACTATTCTTCACAGATAGGGCCAGTTTGGATCTGCTTCCCCCCCACCCCCTTCGCAAATTAAAACATTTAGAAACTTTTTATGGGTTTACTCAGATTATCTTACTCGAACAATATTTGTTTGTTGAAACATTTAAGTGTGACAAAAACAAAACAAAACAAAAAAAATGGAAAACAAGAAGAAATTTGTAAAGACATTCTAGAGAATTCTGGGGTGGAGTCGTCACCCAGTTCTGGACCCCCAGTGGGAGAAATCCATAAATTATCCAAAACAGATGAAAAACCTCAGCTGACTCTTGTGATGTGAAAGAGAAGCGGTGGTATTCTGGACGATGAAGATCCTCTGTTTATCTCTCACGTCCTCATATTCAGGATCTCCTTCTTTCAATCGTGATACGAGACAAAAAAAAAAAAAAACTGCCTGTAATTTCATATAGTGCTTCACACTACTTCCAGTCACTCACCCATTCACGCACACACTCACATGCACAAATGTAGATGGAGCGGTAAATCCAGAGCCTCACCCCAGCTGACCTGATGGAACTGCTTTCGCCAAACCAGGCGGAGCGTTTCACGACTTTCCAGAAGAAAACCTGAGATGACGAGCAGTTGACTGTTGCACAAACAAACCGCAAACTGGAGCAACATCCTCAGAACTCAGAGGACAATTATGGTGAAACTTTTCAATGTTTTTGATTTGTGGACTTTAGCTTTAGACTTAACTCACCCTCTACCAAATGCCAAAGGTCGTGGATTATAAGCCAAAGGACATTAGCTTTTTTTACCCAAATCTCCAAAAAAGTATTTCCCTTTTTTTGGTTCCTACCTAAAGAATAAAGACCAACTAAAAACATCCAGTTCATATCCGGCACTGTCTGTTTTTTTGTTTTTTGTTTTTTTTTGGGCAGAGATGCACTGTCTGAGGATTACTCTTTGCTGTTTGCATATTTAATCTCCTCCTGTCTGCTTCTGCCGTATGTTGAAGTGTTGAATAAAAACCAGAGGCGAGGGGGAATAAAAAAAGATGAGTCTGTCTGTAGACTGATCCCGAGGGGCCATCAGAGGTCACACAGGAAGCTGGGAGCTAATCTCTGCTCCTTGCATTACCTCAGACCATTCATCCACCACGTTGCATTAACTCTGTCCTCCTGAGAAAGTCCTGAGTCTCTTTGTTTTTTTCCCACTGCTTTCAGTTACAATTAATGTCCAACAGAACATATTTGGCTATTACGTTTTGAAAAACCAGGAAATGTAGATGTTTGAGCGTTTCTTTTGGAACGCATGTTCATATTTCAAACATCTGTCAACTAAAAAAATCTGGAAAGATTCTCCAACTTATTTAAGTTGCATCTCAACGAACTGAACCTTGGGACAGACTGAGATCTCCAATTCAACTTTGTCTTGATACATTCCTGCTGAAAAAAATTAACTTATAAACAATCTGAGATATATCCTTTTGCAGAGCCGGAAAAAACTGTAAGTGGTACCGGGGCAGAATTTAATTTGGTGCCCCAATTTGAATTTTTTCCATGAAACAAATCGAATGCAGTTGTGAAGAAAATGTTATTTTTCTGATTCTAATTTTGGAGTCCAAACAAGTGTTTGAAGATACATACAATGTGGAAACAGGTACCAATTGTCATGTGTTTTTTTTTTTTATCACACGTGACCTGGGCACACAAGCAGCAGCAAATGATTAAGTGAGTGAACAAAAAAACAACAAAACAACTATACAACAGAATTTCACAATATATCAGCAAAGGACTGCTTGGATGCAGTGTTTGGTAGTAAATTAAATCCTTGTGGACACAAACTGTTGACAAAGATCTTCATGTCATAGATTGATCACATCTGATATAGAGATAACATTATAGGAAAGTGGTGGGGTCATTGTATTGTAAAAAAAAAGTGATTTCATAGTTTTCTAATATGCGATATTTTATGTGATAACAACTTGAACATTTGTTGTTTCTAAAGTCAATTTTTGTTATGATTTTATATGTAACTACAGATATGAGCACTTTGGATCTATCTTCTACTCCAGTTAAGGAGCGCCTGTTTATGAATGGAGAACAATTTCTATGCATGAGTTCCTTCTTGCATCATATATGATATTTTGTTCAACTTTTTGCTTTTGTTAGACAGAAAAACAGCAAATCGTAATTTTCCAGCTGTTGTGATTGCAGAAGACCTGTGCTGTTCTCCAGTCACAGCTACACAAACTCAGCAGTGGCCAAATCAAATTGTAATTTTGGCTAATTTGGTTTTAGGTTTGTGCAGTGAATTTCCTCTGACATCTTTTTAATAGTTTATAGTGGAAAAAACACCAAACAACTATTGCATCCCTGCATGTTTTATGCTTTTTGGAATATCTGAGCAGTAGTTTTTTGAGAAGCTTGTTTGGTTTTAACACTTTTGTAGCTCACACAGCTGAAAATGATCAAATAAACATAACTTAGATGATAAGCCTGGACACACCAACAGCTGCAGCAGGACGGTATCTAAAAACTGCAGAACAGTGACTCTCAAGGACTAATGACAGAGGTTAGAAAATGCTTTATTATTAAAATTTCTCCATCTCAGAGTGAGGGAAAGAAGGGCTATGGCTGGGTTAGGAAAAACCCTCTGAAATTTAGTCAGTGCAATATGTAGTCCAAGAAAGTACAATATTAAAACAGATGTTAGCTGAAGACCAGATATCACTTTTGATTCATTCAGAAATTCAACATTAAATGTTTTTTAATCTCTTTCCTTCTTAGAGCATAAGTACCTATGTATATTTTTAGTAGGGTGCACATTATATTATAGCAATTTTCAAAATAATAAAAGGCTGTTTTTAACACTTTTATTAGTTAAATGTGAAAAAACAATCAAAAGATAACTTGTACATTTGAAGAATGTGAAAGAAAATTATTGAATAGGTCATTAAGTCAAAGGACAAAAGGTTAAAGTGAGGTCAGACCTCTTAGCAGCTGTTATCCCAACAGAGTCGAAAAAGGGACACACTCAGGAATACTCGAACTGAGTAGGAAATTTGTAACAATGAGGAAAATATGCCGTTTAACAGCCTGTTTAGTTTTGACTTTTATTGATTGTACTACAAAACGTTCTTTTAAAAAAAAAAAATAAATAATATTTTAAGCTGGAGATAGGCACCAGCACCCCTCCCAACCCCACTAAGGGACAAGGGTGTAAAGAAAATGGATGGATGGATTTATATTTTTTATCATTCTTATTTAATTTGTAGGTTAACTAACCTGGATGACCCTGCAAGAACCCCCATACAAAGTGAAAAAGCTTTATTGCTTCCCTTACTTGTGCTTACCTGAATCACAATCGTTTAAATATCCACATATTTGTATTTCAATGTTCTCACACACATCTGGGAGCTAAATATACGTATAGCATAAAAGAGGCGGACCAGTATTAATCTTAAGAAGCAGCAAATTAAAGTTGACATCTTCCATATCCGGTCGCTTTTATTCCGCTGTTTTTCAGCGTTGATATGTTTTCACTAAGAAACGAGCAGCAGTTCCCACGAATTCATAAATACAACAACAACAAAAACCTAGAGAAGAAATTGGTATTCCTCTAAAATCTCTTGGAGAAAGAGACGACGGAGGTCGTAACACGCGGCCGTCCTTTAAAACGTGCGTGACCCAGAACTGCGCTCAAGCATGTGGACTTAAACTGCGAGGCATCTGTCGCCACACAGCCTGCGAATCTATCCCACCTCTGCGCAGAGTGACCCACATGGAGCAGGAGTGAACAAAACAAGAGCTAGCAGACCCCCACGATTTCTGCTTTCAGCCAAAAAAAAATAATAATAAAAAATGTGATAAGGACGGAAGTGAGGAACAGATGAAAGCATCATAGCAAGTGACGAAGGAAGAGACTCACCAGTAAAGTAGAGACAACCCATCAAGGCGCTCAGGTTCCTGCGGGAGGAATGGCATCGCACCCCGGAGTGTGAGAGACCGAAAATATGTCCGCGCGCATAAAAAATAAAATAAAATAAAATAAAAACACACTCTCTGCTTCACACACAGACACCCACACCCCCCACACACACACACACGTGAGGCTGCCGGGAGGCTGAGAGGAGGAGACGAATGAGAGGAGACAGCGGCGGTGGTTCAAACCGGGTCGGTGCACCGAGCGGAGCGCACAAGGATGGAAATCCGCCCCGACATGGAGAGACGCGCTTACCTTTCCCTCTAATCCACCCTGATACCCTCCCGTCACATATACGGCCGCGCACACGCTGCACGCGCACACACAGCGTGCGGCGGACGCAGTTTAAAGTAGAAAAGCAGCAGGAGCGCGAGGAGCTTAAATGTGTTTAAAAAAAAATAAGTGTGACCTCGTCGGCAAACCCGAGGTGTCTTTTGTCTCACACACACAGTGTGAGCCCCGCTGACCACCACTGATGGGATTAACCAAGCGAAGATGAAACTGAAATTAGCCTCGTAATGTCAGGAGTCCTCTAATTATGACTGCTTTTCTAAACATCCAGAGCAAACCGGTGACTTCCTGTAAAGGAACGCGGTGTTGCTGGACTGAAATGAAGGGGATGTGCAACTGGACTTGAATCCATTAAAGGCCATGCCTATAAGATAAGTACTTAAACAAGAAAGTATATTTACTTTTTTGGGGGGGGTGGGGGTGTACGGAGCAAAACGATTGTTGTAAAAAAAAAAATTAAAAAGAAAAAACTGGGGTGGGGGACTCAGCTATATTTAGGTTTATTTGACAAGTGTTCTAAATAACATTTTATTCTAAATAATAAAATGAAGTTCAAAGTTTGCAGATATATCATGGGTATGTTATGTCATTGTTTTCATTGTTTAAAGAAAACAATGGTGTACCAGGATTCCCGTAGCTCTATCTGATACTTGCTAGGTGTATTCATGATGTTTCAAATAGAACCGGGTGCAAAGAAAATTACAAAAAAGTAAAAAATGCTGGTTGAACTCTTCCAGTCTGGTCATTCAGCAGCTGTCAGATTATAATCACAGTTTAAAATATTCAAACTGAGAGATTCTCAAGTTGTTGGTGGTGCTCCCCAGGGCTCTAACTCCTCCATTTATTATATTTGGGGATCTCCAAGTAAATTCCCAAGTACTTGCGTACTGACCTGCAGATTGTAGTTCCAACTCCACTCCAACATACCTGGTGTTCAAACGCTTCAGAGCAAAAATGAACTCTCTGGTTGCATCAAGTCTTTCTGAACTAGTGGGTGCTCAGACAGACGGAAGGTCACCTGCATTATTATCATTAATGTTACACATTTAGTAGGTTTTATTAGGTCAAATATTTGAGAATCAGCTTTAAATCACCAACAGAATATGTTGATTCTTTTAAATCCTCCTGCCAGCTGACTCAACTCATACATTGGCAATTTTTGTGTCAAACTTCCTTAAATCTTAGGACATAATCACCAGCAAAAGTTCAACTGATTTCCTAATCCTGTGTCAGTCAAAGTTTGACAGGTCAGCAGTGACGCCGTAGAGATTTCAGCAGCCTGGAATACCACAGGAACTGTGATTCAAAAACCACATGAGCTGAAAAAATAACTCCACATTTGGTTATTTTTATCATTATTGACATTATTATTTTCGGTACTCTACTTTGATAGACACAGATTGCCACAAAACAAGTAAAGAGAACAATGACCCAAAGAACAGGTGTTTCGATGAGGTTGGTTTGATTAAACATATTTTTCATTAAGCCCACATTTCTGAATTAAAAAATGTTTGAAATATTTAATCTTAAATGTCTTGTTTCTATTAGTGTGAAGTGGAAATCTGTTGTGGCGAACAAAAACAAAGGTGTGACAACAACAGTGTGTGTGATCACAGCGGTTTTCATTCACTGAATTTAGCTAATGAAATAAAACAACTTCATAAAAATATTCAGATTTATTAAATATAACTGTAGTAGTGGTGCAGTGTGAAAAGAAAAAAGTTTCTAATGTACGGTAATTCTGACAATCACAGAATTTTACCGTATAAATTCAAATTAGAGACGTTTTTTTTTTTTTTTTTGCAGTGCAAGATCATTTTAAAAATAATCACAAAATAAAACTGTTGTGCTTTTACAAATAACTGATCAATTATGACTGATGAAAAAGTCTTAGTTCGTACAGAAGGATCAGCTTAAAAGTTGCTGAGTTTCCGTCATGTAATGTCTAACAGGAATCTGTGCCAGAAAAGAGTGTTTTTTTTCCTTCTTCTTTTGTTCTTTACTCTTTTGTGAAATATATTACAAAATGTTTTTCCCCCCAGGTTGCGTCTGTCACTTTTTACTTCTCAAAACGTAACCGGGCAACCATACAGGAACATCCCCCTCCTGCCCCACCGCCAGTAGAAGCTATAAATACACCAGTAAAGGTCATTCATCCATCCATATCTTCCTGCAGCTCTTCATGAATGAAACAGTTCTGCTGGTGAGTCGTGGATTAATCTAATCTCCTCTAATTCTCTGTATTCAGAGTGGAAACAAACACAGTTTAAATTTACCAGGGTGTGCGGGCTGACTTGTGTTTTTACCATTAATGAGGTAGAAAGCAACATGCGCTCATAGTGATTTATAAGAAAAATATTTATTTATTTATTTATTTATTTATTTCAAACAAATATATAAAAATGTTATATCTTTCCTTAATATATATAAAATGTATATTTCACTCATTTGCTATTATTATGACTGATGTATTTTTTGATTGAACATTTTTTAACGTAATCCTTTAATGTATAAAGTAATATTACAATCACTGCTGTATAACATTACAATTAAGAGAATCACTTTTCCATTTTCAAATATTTAAAACGGTTTTTTTGTTTGTTTGTTTTGTTTTTTTACCTCTTACTGCTCCAGCAGTGTTTAATGATTTAGTCTGTAACACAAGTAAATGCTCATCATGTCCTAAAGTTCTTTCCTTATGGTTTTTAATGTCAGAGGGGAAAAAGGAAGGACTTTACAAGGGGAAGTTGAAGACTCCAAGTTTCAAAACTTTCTATCGTTTGTTCATTCGGGTTATTACTTAATCACTAAAACCACATGTGTTCATCGGTAACACGTCATAATTTTTTTCCCCCTTCTTATTCTCTTCTCTGCAGTCTAATGGTATTTTGAAAAAATGGTCCCACAACCAAACTTCACCACAGTTTCAAACCTCACAACCCCTGTCCCTGGGGGTGGTGGATGCCCGCCTGTCGGCATCCAGCTGGAGGGCCTCATCATGCCTCCGGTCCTCATCATCGACGTCGTACTGGGGCTGATGGGAAACTTGGTGGCGCTGTGGATCTTCTGGTTTAAGTTGAAGGCCTGGAACCCCAACACCCTGTTCCTCTTCAACCTGGTCATCGCTGACTTTTTTGCCCTGGTGAGTCTGCCCCTCAGGATTGATGCCCTGCTCAGGGGCCACTGGGTGTTTGGAGATGGCATGTGCCGGATAAATCTCTTCCTGATGTTCTCCAAACGATCGGCCAGCATCGCACTCATGACCGTGGTGGCAATTTACCGATACTTCAAGGTGAGGAAAACCGTGAATTTATTTTGAGAGGTCAAAGGTTATTTCTGTATGGGTCTACCAATTGGGGTCTCTTTCAAGAATGACTTCTTCTCCTATCCCAAACACAACCTGCTATTTTCTACCTTTTTTACAAGACTATCCAGCAGTAATTAGCAAACATCTGGCAAAATTGCTCTTAAAGAGGCAGAGGCCCAATTTCAAGGCGTTAAATTACAAAGTCAAATTTCTTTTAAGTCAAATTTCTTTTAAGTCATTTTAGGTATATGTAGCATTTTTAAGACAACTGAAGCTAACATAGTGGCTTGATTGTGCTATAAAATGCCACATAAAACTCATAACACTGACTCCTTTATTGAATTTCTACCTTGCTTCAAATATGCAAAGCAAACTGGAAGCACTTACACACCTTTACATCAGATAAAGCTGTACTATGTTGAATTAGATTTACTTTCCTGTACAAAAGCTCACATTCAAAACATCTTTTTTATGACTTTAAACACTCTGCAGCATGACATCTGCTGCCAGGCTGAACAAAAAAATGATATGAAATGAGCTAAAAAGAGAACTACACTGAATCATTGAAAGTAAAGCGCTTCATTTCTGGATTCTTGTTCCAGGTGGTCCACCCTCATCATCGCTTCAACCGCATGACCAAGCGGCAGGCTGCATTTGTCTCAGCGTTCGTCTGGCTGTTGGTGATCAGTCCTCGGGTTCCCATGCTGGCCTACAACCACATCAAGGGTAAAGGTGAGAAGACCCAGTGCTTCTTCTTTACGTCCTACAAAGAGGCATCCCGCGCCATCATCATCCTGGTGGGCATGCACCGTATTTTGACGGTGGTGGAGTTCGTCATCCCCATGGCCATGCTGCTGTTCTGTTCCGTCCGAATCTCCGGCTTCCTGAAGAAGAGGCAGATGGGAAAACCTGACAAGGTGCGCAAGGCCATGAGAATGTGTGCCGCCATCGTGGCTGTGTTCATCGTGTGCTTCCTTCCCACCACGGTGACCACGATCGGTGTGTGGGTCATCCGCTCCTACCGGCCATGGGACTGTGCCGCTTTCTACACCTTTACTCAACTCACTATTGTGTCGTTGGGCCTGAACTTCCTGAACTCGGCTCTGGACCCTATCGTCTACGTCTTCTCCAGCTCTATGTTCAGGAAGGCACTACTGGGACTCGTACCCTGTAGAAAGGATGAAGGCCAGAACACAGAGTCCTCATCGGGATCCCAAAGCACCACCCAGCAGGAACTGAAGTCCTTAAGGACTGACAGAGGCAGTGAAGCCATTCAATGAGCAAGACACCAGTCGTAGTGACAGAACAATAGCTTTGATTTTATATAGGTAAACTTAGAAATAAACTTAAAGGTTCCTCTACAAACAGCTCTGTGCAGTTTGACAAAGTTTTTTTTTTTTCATAGATACCACACTGACTAACAATGATTAGACTGGAGCTGCACAGCCCAAGCTCAGCTTTTCCCCAGTTTTGTTGTGATACTGAGTGTTGAGATTAGAATACCAGCTTAAGGACCTGGGATTTGGAGCATGTGAGGCGTTTTTGGACACAAGAATTGACATCCTAAAAATGTTAACATCCTGGCAAATAAAAATCTGTTCAACAAGTAAAGGACTTCAGGAAGATGACGTGTTCCAAGGTTGCTGAACATGTCATTACAATGCCTGCTGTGAAGGACTATAATCACTTCCTGGAAAGAGTTGACCTCTCAGACCCAATGATTGGTTGTTGTTCTTTAAAGAGAAATTACAGGAACTAATACATGACTGTCGTGTATCAATTTATGGTCCTTGCTATGTGAAAAAGGTAGTTACTCAAGACGGAGCTGTGTGGCAGTCGATGACGTACCAGGGTTTCCAGGAACACAGCAGGTTGGCTTCACAACCAGTCCCAAATTGCTGTCATCAAATCTCTGCTGCCATTGTTGAGAGAGCATTTGGCCATAAAACACCTACAGGGAGGAAACAAGAACTGTCCCAGCTCCATGATGCTACTTAAAAACAAAACTACTTAATGAATTTTTTTTCTTTCTGTATAGGTCCCCTTTGAAACTTTATTTTGAAATATACTTCATCTTTTGTAAATTTCACACAAAGTATCTTCGATTTGTTGTTGTTTCTACAATTTATAAAACTGCGTCCATTCTCTGGCTCCTATTTTGTGGAACCTCAGATTCAGTTGCGAAATTTGTGTAGCAAAAAAATCATGAAGAAAAAAGAGTTGTTGTATTCTTTTGTAATGTATTGTACTTGTCAGTTGTTTTTTACTTAGTTACCATGGAACCACCCATGACATGCATGTTAATAAAATGAAAGTAATGAAGGTTGAGTTGATGTATAGCTAATTGAATTGTCCAAAAAATGCAGCATATAAAAATATGAGCACAAATTCTGGCACATTCGTACTATGGCAGGTCTTAAATGGTTAAATGAAGCTAAATAACTCCACAAGACACCATCACAGGGTTTAATTTACAGAGATCTGCATCTGCTCAATCCAGTCATGCTGACAAATAGAACAGTGACATCGAGTGGATGAGATAAGTGTGACAGTCCAGATTCTGCTGGAGTTGCTGAAACAAAGTGTGTAACAAAGAGTATTTTTGAGGTATATGGGGGACTACGAAGAGACACTAGGCTCTGAATATTTTACTGTTGAACATCAACAGTAAAGTTTCAAACAGGTTGTTCTAATTGCAACTGACTTATATGATACTTTACACATTCGCAGTAAATGACAATGTGCTGATAACATATATCGTTTATTGTCGTTGACTGTCAGCAAAGGCAATCTTACAGCAAGAATGTTTTAAGATTTGTTATCTCAGGAAACACTGAGATAGTTTGCTGTTCTTTTGGTAACCAACACGATAAATGTACCGTCTCATAGCTGGAGTCTTCCATCTGTCGGCCTCACTTTAAAAAGTGACAGTCGCTGTACAATGAGCACACTGTGCTCATAAAAGACTTTATTTTTAATAAAATGTTCACTTTTAACTAAAACCACAAACTCAATATTTAATAATTATACTGGAATAATTTGACTTCATTCTACAGAGGCAGCAACACTGAAAGATTATCATTTAGGCTGTAACAACACAATGCTGTTGGTTTGAGGAAAAGTGAGTATTTTTTTTATATCTGCATTACATATTGTATGTTAAAAAATAATAAGATAACACGATCTTATTCCTTCAGTAAACAACAGGTTATTATTTAGTTCATGAATCAAAGTAGTTTTACTGACAGAAACAGAAGAAATTCAGACCGGTGCAACAGCGACATCTGATGGATGAATGGGGAGACTGCAGCTTTTAAAACCTAGTGGAGTTGCTGAGGCAGCAGCTGAGCTCCTTCTGAGTTCAGCGCCTGAGTGGGACGATTCTGACCGGTTGAATTACGTCTGACCATTTCTCCAGTATTTGTTCAAGTCCAAACTATCGCCCAGCTTCTTTCATCATATCCTGTGTAATTGCTGGAAATTCCTTCCTGGGTTCTTGGAAACTTCTGATGACGCTTACATCCCATCCCAGTTCACTGTACTGGACGGATCTTCATGCTGATGGCCTTCAGGGAGTAGGCCCTGCCCTTCCAGGAAATCCACTCCACTCCGATGGCATAATGAGTGCTGTCGGACCCCCAGAGGTACACGCCGTTTGGGTTTGCAGAGTGACAATCGGAGTACCAGAACCCTGCAAGGAACGATCGGGCGCAGTTGTTCACCCAAGTGTCCTGATCTTTATCGAACGTAGAGAACTTCTGTCCACTGATGTGACTTAGAGAGTCTCCTGAAGAAACAGAAAGTCGCATAAATGTGAAGCACATTATTTTCCTAAATTATAAAGTATCTTGCAAAAATTTTGGTTTATTGGCAAAACAAAACAAAACATAATGTATTTTTGGAAACACTCTTTCAAGTTGATCAGTAAGAATGTTTTTTTTACTAAGTAAATGGTAAAATATTAAAGTTGTTGATAGATAAATAAAGTGCCAGATTTTTCTCTGCAGGTGCTAAAGAAGAGGGGAGCAGGGACGTAGTGTAGGGTTGGGCTTCATGTTGGCACTTAGACAACAATTCTGAGTGCGACACTGCTGGACATTTGAAAAATAAAAATATATAATAATAATAATAAAAAAGTTATCTTACCAGAAACAAACAAAAAAATGTCTGTCTTTACCCACCTGCCCCTCCATTAGTGAACCCAGTGAGGTGAAGTCTGTAGCCGTCAGTCTCTGGGCCCACGGAGAACGAGGTGTAACGAGCATACGACTTGTTTCCTTCGAAGTCCTCCATGTCGATCAGCAGCTCTGTTTTCCTCTTAGTCAGGTGAAAGACATTCTCCAGACCTTGAACATGACAGAAACATTGGAGAAAGTGATTTCTCTGAACTTTTGACGGGCGCTCCCTCTAGTCTCCATAACTGCTGCGTTGGCTTCACGTCTCACCGAGCCAGTATTCTCCTGCGGCGTTCCCGAAGCCGAACTTGTACTGATTCCAGGGCCTGTAGAAGTTCACAGAGCCGTCCATCCTCCTCTGGAAAACCTGCAGGAAGGTGAGGACGGTTATCCAGCTGAACGCAGCTCAGGTTTCCTCACAATGAGCTTTGTTGCATTTCGGAATCAGATGTTAGAGATGGATTTCAGAAATGCATGCAAATAGCAAAAACACTTACAATTAGTTCAAACAGTGTTTAAGTGTTTTTGCTTTGGATTCTTATAAACTTTGACTGTAGATGGTGAGCCCACAGATACATTTTTTGTTGTGAACTCAAAATTATTTCCAGTAGTTTCCCTTTAATGAAACCAGTTGGCTACAGGTAAGAACCCCATCTCAAAAAGATAATGACGTGGATTCAAAATGCATATAATTACAGTTGTATTTTAACAGATGACTTTGAATTGAATTCCAAAGAAAGCTTTTGAAACTTCTGTCTAAAATAATGAAAAGCAAAACGTAAACTAAACAGCAGAAATAAACAATCCCTACCGTCCACTTTCCTTCCAGAGAGTCCATGTCGCAGTAAGCCTGCAGACACAAACATAGCAGCTGATTGAACCGACATACTGATTCAGCTGCATCTTGAGACTCTTGTTTCTAATTTTTCACAAGGAACATAAGGAAACAAAGCCCAGTTGACCTCCTTCTGGACTCTTGAAACATTGCTGTAAAATCAAGGAGCCCCATTATGTATGAATCAGCAAGATACCAAGTATCAGAGCTGATAGATCCCTATTTGGTAACCCAAATTTGATGCTTGTGATTATTTTTTTATTTATTTTTTTTTTTTATCAAGGTTGTTGTTAAAAGAACATTTTTTGGATATTGAACCATATATCAATATGGAGTGAACATGTTAACGTTAACATCAGGCATTAAGAATCAGAATGTGATTATTAATTACTAACATTTATTCCAGGAGGTTTGAGCGTACCTGGACGGCCGATGTGGTTCCGATAGGATAGATGGTGTAAACTCCGCTGGGTCGGCTGGTGTCTTGGTTGTAGATGTCATTGCAGTCCAAAGGGAGGCAGAGATCTGAGCTGCTGGTCACCACGGGAACCAGCAGGAGAACAAACAGCTGCAGCAGAGGAACAGTTTGTTCACGACAAGTCTGGAGAGTCAGAACTTTTCTCATTTGAGCTAAAAGCAAAAATCAAGCAAATGAGGAACATTCGAGAGTCTTGCATTAACATCATAAACTCACCTTAATGGTCATTGCTCTTCTGTAAGGATCTGACATATGATGTCTGTCAGGTGGAGTTCTGCTACCTGCTTTTATAACCGACACAATGAGTTACTGAACCATGAAAGTCCCCTGGATGAATGCGACATTAAAAAGAACCCACTATTTGGAAATCAGAGAGTTTTTCTTTCAAATGTATTGCGCAATTGATCTGGCAAAGTCACAGCAATACACCTCTCTACTTCTCCTTTTTTTACTTTAAAACATAGTTTCCCTCAAATCTCAGTTCACCTGTTGCGACTGGACTTCATGTTTTTATGTTTTTTCCCTCTTCATTTTACTAACTGTAACCACCTGTTTGTGTTCCTCATTTACCTGTCAGGTCCACTGTTCACATTAAATCTTTATTAAAGCTATATGCTCTGATTTTCCTTTTCATCAAAAGGGCTTTGGACCATTGTTTTAGGATATATATATTTTTTTGCCCCTTTTTTACTTGTTAATGAAATCACAAAAAAATATTTATATATAATGTAAGCAAAACATCCAACTCAAAAACATGGGGGTGCCAGCGTACAGGCTTCTTTACATTATGTTACAAACAGGATCAAATTTTGAGTCACTGAAGCTTCATTGCATATATTTAGGTTATAATCTGAACTAAGCAGTAGAATGCTAAGCTGGAGGTAAGAGAGCTCTGATGAAGTTATGATGCAATTATAAATTCCTTTTTTGTCTAGTGGGTTTAATTTTTACCATAGCTATGGATTGCATAAACATTGGGTTGTTAACTAAAATCACTAGAATATGACTTGACAGAACCTAAAAGTAGGAGAAAATATGCATGTTTTCCTTTCAAGAAAATTAAATACAGAGTATTTATGGGAGACAACAAAAAACCAGAGGTTTATTTGCATTCTTTTTATTAGATTTCCCAACATTAGAACAGTAGCATGAATGAAGTAATAATATAACTTTTTTTTCCCCAAAAGCAATCATGTGTTCAAAAATAGTCAAACATACACATTATGTGACAGGAAATGAATAAAGAAAGCATCACTGGTAATCAATCATTAAGAATCAATAATAATACAAGTACAGGAAAAACTGAATATCAAACACCACAAAAACTGTAAACCGCCACAAAAGCTGTAAAATAATAATAAAAAAAAATCATAACATGAAATCTATAACTATGGCAACATCATATATCAACAATACATAGTTATCTGTCCCATAGATGTTATAAGTGAGCAAGAAAAGCATTTAAAACATGAAGATCATACAATTATCAATAAAAAGATGCAAGCAGCTATTTCTTGCAAAAAAAGTAATTGTTTTAAAGTTGTACAGTTAATGATAAAGGAGACATATTATGCAAAATGTTCTTTTTTGCCTGTTTCTGTCCTTTCATTTGGGTATCTACTGCTTATAGAAACAATCCAAAAGAAAATAAAAATAAAAATAAAAATAAAAACCCTGCCATTATTTGGCAGTAAATGTTTTACTGGTATCTGACCCATTTCAAAAACCTCTGCAGTACAAAGTCCATTACTGATAGCAACTCCATGCCCAGCCAAGTCCCTCGCCTGAAAACTCAACTGGAGTTTCATTCACTTCATTACAAGAAGAACTACAGTATGTTACTGTGAGAAAAAAAAGAATGACTTTCTTTAGATTTATCTCTTCCTTTCTGGCAAGGAGAGAATGCATTGAGTTACACCGACTGCAGGCCAGACCCTGTCTGCTGGAGAGAAAACATTTGTTTTCTTATCTTTGCTTATTTATTCTCAACTTTTAGTCACACTTTAACGCGATAGTAAAAAACTACAGAGGAGGGACAAATAAAACTCTAACTACTGTTTTTATGAGGAACTTCTTACTCTATTTCAACATGACGATCATACATAAATTATGATCAAAACTCAAAAAAAGAGAAGTGAAGTCTGGAACTGATTGATTGATTGATTGATTGATTGATTGATTGATTGATTGATTGATTGATTGATTGATTGATTGATATTTCTTAATAAACTTTCACTTTCATCACTCACATCTCTGCTTAATCCATTTTTTTTTGTTTCAAACTGAACCAAATGTCTTCACAGACACAGGGCCACGTAGCTGTTTTTCCCCCACATTTTCAGACATGGGTAAACGGGCTGAGAGAAACTGCCATGGAAAGTGTGAAGGTGATCCACTTTGTCGCCTCTGACTATATAATACGACAAAGTACCGGCGGGCCAATTCAGATACAGCCCAACACGGGACAAGCTGGTTTTGGGAACAGATTTTTCCGTGCAGTTTCTGTCATGCTCTATGTAGAATTTGGGTTGTTGTTCTTTGTCTTTTCTCCACCTCCACCCCAAAGACCAGCTCATTGGACTGTGACCAATGGCAGTCCATTCGCTAAAACCTCCTTTCCTATTGATTCCTTCATAACAAACACCAACAGCGCTATCTCTACCTTTGTCAATGTTCAGTTCCACCTCCCAGTAGTGGAGATTTGTCAACCTTTCTTTGAACAAAAGCTGGTAAACTTCTTCAAATCTCAGGTGGTTATTGGGATATGACTGCTTGTCTCCGTGTGTCACGCTCTTGGTTCCATCGAGAATGAGGTTTGGGTGTGCTGTGTCTGGATCCATGTTGAGGCTGCTGGCATCTGAGGGAGAGAAAAACAGATAACATGATGAAGTTGATGGTTTCAAAAAAGATCTGTAGAGTTTTTCTAATTTGAGACAATGTCTAAATATTTCCTTCCCAAGTAATCTTCAGTGCAAGAAGTGAAGTGTCCATTTGGCTTTCATGTACACTGTTGCTAAATAACAAAAGTCAAGTGGATGTTCAACATTGTCACAAGACCCAAACACTTTGGTTCAATGTTCGAGGTGTCACATTGTGATGGCCAGATAAATTTGATTTTACATTGGTTTGGGGGAAAAATGAAAGCAATGAACAGTGACTTACACCACAGCAGATCTCTCCTTTCTGTTATTTTTTCTACATTAACAAAATCGGGTTTTTTAAAATCTTCCGTGATTAGTTAGTTCTTCCTGTAGTGGTAGATGGTTGCTCCTTTGTATTTCTTGTTTTTCATGGCTGTTACTACAAATCTGTATTTCGCTTCGTTCTTCAGACCTGCTACAAGTTCACCGATCTCAGTGGCTTTTTCTCTTATTCTTGTCAATTCTTCTTCTGAGAAGTACCACAGGTCCTCAGTGGCTGGACTGACATTGCCCGTGGCCTTGAAGTCCATTGTCTCCAGGTACTCTGCCATTTTCTGAAGATAAGGATCTGACGTTTCCAGAGAGGTAAAAACGAAGCAGAGGACATGCTCTACTTTGAGGCACAGGAGCTCCTCAACAACGTCAGACTCTTTGGGGAGGATCTTTGCTCCATCCATTGCCTCAACACAGGACTTGATCACATTGACTTCTCTTTCCTTGTTTGCCATCCATTTATTTAATTTGTCTGTACTGAACGGAGACTGTTCTTTCTCATCCAAGATTCTCAACAGCTCATTCTCATCTTCCTTTCCTGCCCTGATGCCTGGAATCTTCTTTGCGATTAGATCTTGAAGCATCCCTTCATAGGTGCGACACTTTTGCTTGAAACCTAACAAAACTGTGGAAATCTGCTGGAATTGATAGCTGTCTGCCAAACAATCGTTGCATCTTATTTTCAAGTTCTGAAGCTCTACCAGGGCATGTTGAGCCTTCCCCAAAAGTCCAGTGCTGAGTTCCATTTTCACCTCGGAAGCTGATGCATCAAAATTCTTCAGTGGCATCAACCAGACCTTCAGTGGAACACTATGCTCTTTATTTGCACCTAGCAGCGACGGCAGATTCATGTACGTCAGCAGTGCATCCTGGAACGATGTAGGGTTTTTTTCAGGAATCAGGTCTCCATAGAACGTGCAGGAAAATGCGTCCGCCACAGCTCGTTCTTCATTAGACAGTTTGATGTCAACTTCTCCGCTCAGGCTTATGCCGGGGAACTTGTTTATGGTGGCTTGGAGGTTGCCCTCAATCTTCCGGAGGGTTTTCGTGTCCACCTTGTTACTGTCCAACACAAAGAACGCATTTGCACCGTAAAGGATGCCAGTGACAATGTGAGTGGCCAACGGCTTCATTTCATCGCCAATCTTCAGCTGCTTCTTCATTTCATCAGCCGATATGTTCAGCTGCTTGAAAGTGGTGGTGGCTTTGTACTGGAAGGTTATGCGGCTTTGATTGTGGGATTTCTTCTCGTCATTCAGATACTTTGCAGATCCTCCGACTTCAATCAGACCGCCCAGGAAACTGGCTTTTAGAGAGGCATTCACGTCCAGCAGAGAGGACTTTGTGTCCAAGGAATCGGAGCTTGTGATTTTAAAATCGCTGCTATGCTGAGAATTCTCTATCATCATGTCTTCTAGAGTCGTTTTGTCCCACAGAGTGACACCTTTAAAACATGATATCAGAAAACAAATTAGAAGGAAACACAGTGGAGGTACTTAAGCATGACAAAAACATATTCTTGATTCTCTGTTGGGTTATATGTTTTGCCACCTATAAATTGTTTCTTAGAGAAACAGTATAACTTTTATATATATATAT